AACTGACACATAGACATTTTTAGTGCCATTTCCTGCTGCACAAAACCATCAGAACACAGAAAGAGAGCAGTGATTATGTCGAGAGGGTTTACCATGTCAGCTGTGTTTGGGCTGCTGACCAGTTTTTTCAGATCTAATTCCTTACTCCCTGATGCAGCATCACAGTTTGATTCACATACAGATGTACATTTCACATTCCTAGCTGTCACATTAACCATCATAAGCTGTTTGAGAAAATACCATGGAAGGTCTGATTTCCTCTTGGCAGGTTGATCAGTAATGGTCTTCTCATCAATCTCAAGTATGTTGTTGAGTGACAGCTTGTCTTTGTAGCGCTGCTCCAGTCCCAGATCTTCCAATAAGCTCTGCAGATGTGTCTCTGTGGACATAAAGAAACTGGTTCTGAAAATTATGTTGTTAATGTACTGAAGCATGGACATGATCCAAAAGACAACAGTTAAACAAAGGTAAAGTTCTTCCATGGCTCCGTCCCTGCTTTGTTTGCACACAAGGATAGTTTTGCAAGTGGTTTCACACTATATCAGTTAAGTACAGGCTGATGCAAAGCACTATGAACGCTGTAATGCACCGGTAAAGGCAGAGAAGAAGACTGTAAGTCTGGCTTGATCAATAATGGACTTAAAATAGCATCTAGCATCTTCCTGATCCTGCTTCCATCTTTTGTAGGTAAATGGTAAAAAAAAAAAGAAAAACAGTGGAGTGATGACCCCAAAGATCAGCAAATTCACACAAAGGAGCGGTCAATAGCAAGGTGGTGTAATTTTATTCTGCTGTTGCTTTTTATATATACACTTCTGCAACATTCATGTTCAGCAAAGTCTCTCGGCTGTAAGTTTTGCATAATGAACGTCTGGGATGGACAAGACACTCAAAACTTTCACTCTCGCTGTCTCCTGAAGGGGGCGCTGCATCTATACACACCGCCATCTCTATGGAGACCCATAAAGATTCATTATATATTCAGACTTTTATTAAATATATTCAGAGTTTCATTATATATATTAAGAGTTTCATTCCATATATTCAGACTTCAGAAAGCATTAATAAATAAAGCTAAAATTTCCCAGATATTTATATATTTTTGATTTAAAAGGTTTTAAGTAAATCGGGGCTGATCGAGCAGATGGCCTCTGATGATTGGAGACTGAATAACCTTGTTATTGTTGTCCTGCTCTTCATATCTTTTTTGGACAGCAGAGGGTGTAGTTTAGCCTCTCTGAGAGCTGTGGAAGTCCAATGAAGACATTGTGCTATGATCTTTTCTTTTTTTTTTTAACCCATTCACTGAGGATGGTACCAAATAATCTAGGCTTTACTCCAAATTTAAAATGTGCCTCTTTTTTTCTTTGTTTTCTTGATCATTCTTTCTTTTACTTACTTGTTCTGGCAGACGTTACAGCTGGCTCGCTGATTCTTCCATTTTTCAGTCGTGCAGAAACCTGTATGGAGTAACACAGCCCTGGCCTCAGGCTGCTGACGGTTGCACTGTTTGTTTCTGTCGCCAGCTCCTGCACAGTTTCTCCATCACTGCAGCACGCCACGATGAAACTCTCCACCTCACCAGCAGGAGTGTCCCACTGCAGAGACACCGACCCACTGCTGCTGTTGTAGACTGTTATTGACACAGGAGGGACGGGCTCTGTGACAATAACAGAAATGGATAATTAAACCAACTTGGCAACTTTACCGAGGCGTTGTCAAACAGAAGAGGTAGAATAGGTTCCAAAAGATGACAAACAATCCTTTATAAGAAACGGAGTAAACAGTACATTCATTGACCATTCAGCCAGCAGCTGCCTGCATTAGTCATAAAAGAATTTTTATTTCAAGCATCACTTTCATCTCAGATTTACCTGTAAAAACTGACACACAGGCTGCTTTGCTTTGAAGTCCGTTTTCAGCGGCCCTTGTGATGCTGACAGTGACCTCAGTCCCAGGATTCAGCCCATCCACATCCACAGTGCTGCACTCTTCCATGATCACGCTGCCTCCACGTGTGCCACAGGTGTACTCTATGTGGAGTTTATACTTAACAGATGAGCCACTGGGTGCCACACCAAGAGAGATAACGTCACTGCCAACATGGAGGACTGTTACTTCTGGTGGAGGAACATCTGCCAGAAGAGAAGAGAGATGCCGCTCACTGTCTCCACATTACAGCGTATTTTCAGTCAGTCGTCTCTTTTAACCTGATGAATAGTTGATTGTTTAAGCTGCACTGATACCTCCATCAGACACACTTACAGTCAGTTGCAGGAGGTCCTCCTTCCTCACCGTAATGCTCCAGGAAATCCTCCATGGCATCATGGAACTCCTTGATAAATGAGAAATGAATCACTTCATAAAGTGCAGGGTTAAACATGGTATTAGTTGCCCATCGATGGGCAGCTATAGAGTGATCGTGTGCCTGTTTTTGTGTGTGCATGTTTTTTGGGGGTTTTTTTGTCTGTTAACTGTATAGAACAGGGGTGTCAATCTCAAAAACACAGTGGGCCAAAATTTAAAACCTGAACAAAGTCGTGGGCCAACATTGAACAAATGAACCTTTTAATATGGACCGAAACAAATTTTGCTTTAACATTGAATATGGAACAAGCAACGCTTATTACCAGACATTATATATAACTTAATAGTAGAGACATGCAAAATCAAACTATAAATAAAAAAAACACATCAATGGCGCAGTGACAGTTGTAGTGCGAAGTCGCTATGCCTACTGTCACAGAGGAGAGGGAGTTTCTGGGTACTGTCCTGATTGACGCGCCAAAACAACAACAGGGCATTATGGGATTTGTAGTATTAGCGGTGAATG